CGTGCACCAGCCAGTTCGAAGACGTACCAGCGACTTGACAGTATCTTGAAAGTGGCGAGAGCTCCTCTCGTTCGCACGTCCACTTTCGCCACTTGACCCGGCTCACGAGGGCATGAGAGCGAGGGGCAGGAAAGCCCGGGAAGTTGCGAGAGGAACGTGCGAACGAGAAGGGCTCCGCCACTTTTGAAAAGCTGGTGATTCGCTCGTACCCCCGCGATTCGCTGCTAATTCAGTGGATTCGCAAAGTCTGACACCAGCCTAACGCTTGCCAATTATTTCAACTGCTCAAAAGTTTGGAGCATTCAAAAGAAGGCTCAAACAACATCAATATCATTTATTCAGATCATGTTGGATAATGTAATTCAAAGTAATTGTCACCAGATATTGAACATTATGATGGCCATATATCGGCGAGAAGGCTGCTTATCATCCCTTATTATCATCCGTAAGAAGTTACTTGTGGCGAAGAATGAATGCGTTGTCCTTTGTTGGGTCATCTTTTGTACCGTAAGCAGTCAGTGTGACTTCTTTCAGTAATCCGCGAACATTCAGCTTCTTGTGACCCTGGAAAACTCAACTCAAATCAATTCAAAATGAGTTTAAGCTACCTACCACTTAGACAGGGGTCTTATTCACAAAGCGGGTCGCTTAGAGCAGTGTTAAAAGATTTTTCAAAACAACTTTTTGCATGTCATAGGAGCATATGCATGGCACTCAGACACGAGCTCTATCTTATTTGAGCAACACTGAGAGTGCTAAAAAGAAGTAAAAAGGTGTCCATGGTTTTTATTCCTAAATGACGGGATTTTGCGGTCCTCTGCTTTCCTTTTCCGTGTTTTCATACACACCTTGTTTCCTGGAGTAGATCGTGTCGTAGTTGCACAAAAAGCAACACTGTGGCATCAGATTACATGAAGAGCACCATGTGTTACCGATTCCGAGGTCGCCGTCACGTGTGTCACTGAGTCTGCATTTACGACATATGCGACTACCAGAAACAAAGTGTTTGCTTAAATTTTTTTTGCATGAACAGAAAACGTTTGTTGAGGAAGCAGTTAGTACAAGAAAATGCTACATCGATGAATGTTTCAAAAAATTGACCTCCCCTCTAGAGGTCTTTCTCTCCTTTTTCGGACCTCCATCCAAGACAGTTGAGGAACAGTTATTTTCTATTTTATGATTATTAAGTTTGCTCCAGTGCTCCAGGAATGTATCCCTGGAAAATTTGCTGAATAAAGACCTTAGTTTTTTTGGGAGGCCCCACTAGACTAGAGAAAGATTAGGAAAGACAGGACCCTATTAATCTCTATGTTTCTGGGTTAGCCAGAGTATACACGCTTAATTTGCAACTGACCATGGAATGCACTTCGAGTGTCCATTTTCCACGGGGATTTTCACCCCAATGCGCTACACTGATTAAAGGCCAGTTCAGGAGACCGTCCGGGGAGTCGTCATTCTTTCTGGGCTGCAGCAGTTGGATGGTAGAGCCTGTAATAAAGCGTGTATTAACAATTGTATTGTATTTCTTGGAATTAACCTGCTCGCTTTCTGATCAGTTAGCTTTGTTTGTTGGTTACTTCTTATTATTGTTTGCAGCACTGCTTAAGTTTGCTTTTATCTGTTTTTACATACTTTCGATTTTATGTCACTGAGTGCTATGTCTGTCACGAGCTTAATGATTTTATCTTTGAAATTTTTCTCACGTGACTTCTATTCAAGTCTCCAATAAATAAATAAATAATAAAGCGAATTAGAAGGAAGAGAAGGAAAGAAAAAATTGGGCTTGTTATTCAAATATCCGTCGGCCGCATGGCCGATTATCTTTATGAGCTTCTATTCTGGAAGGAGCCTCCCAATGACACTGCCCTTTGCCCTAAAGTTCACTTGAAATGTTTGCACCTACCAAGTGGACTTGTGAGGAACAACGAGATGAGTCCTCGCCGAGGATGTTCTATTGAAACATCGAGTTTGAGTCGTTCAAGCCAGTTCACCTCACCGGAAGTTCCTGCACAGCTTTCAAAGGGCAACTCGATTGTCAAGGGCAGTTCTGCAGTGAATGTTCTGAAATGTGCTTGCGGATAAATGTGGCCATAAAGTGAGCATCATCGCATCAACAGCATAGCGGACCCATTCGAAACGTTGAACAGCCGGCTGCAGCTTGACACAGGCGGAACGTTCTTCCAGTTCCGAGCGGCTGTGGTCAAGACGTAGGGCATTCAACACACCGAACCCAAAGTGTCTGGAGAAATGCAAGCCTGAAACAGGTTCTATATTTTTACAATGGTGGGGCTTTTTAGGAGCATTTTCTCAGGACTGCACAATTTTAGCTCGAAGGGAAGTATGTCAATGCAATCTTAATCTGAAGGAAAACGGAAGTGCACATTGCTTTGCAAAAAGAATCCCTCACGGATTACGCCGCGCACTCGATTCTCATCAAAAGTTCTAGGCACATTAAGATCCTACAGTATATTGTTTATGGGTATGAGGAACAAATAGTGGATTGGTATGTAGGGACTTATACGAGAATGGTATTAGAAGGCTTGCTGTGGGCGTGACCGAGGATCAAATTGGTGTGGTTCTTGCACAGAAATGCGAGTAAATTGGTGCGAAATGGGCCGTAAGAAAGGAAAGGAACAAGGCGAAAACGACTTAATTTAGGGCTCAGTCACGTTCTTAACCAGGTGTGCTAGTGCACTAATGGATTAAAGCGATACCCCAGGCAGAATCCGTGTGAGCGGTCCTCTTCGTCCTGTGAGGTAGTGCCCCAGCAGACAATCACGAACGTAACAGTCCCGTGCAACGAAAGCGCCCGAAAAAGGCGCTAGGGTCTTCTAAAGAGTGGAGGTTCCTGTTTAGGCTTCATCGCGGGTTTTTTCGCTGTTTCTTCCATTTCCATTCAACAATGCACACTCACAT